TTTCGTCAAACCGGCCATCCCCTCTACCCAAAATTTGTATGGATCGATTGAGATCAACCGGGGCTCAAATTTTAGGTGATCGTGTCGTTTGCCATCTTGCCTTTTGAGAAGCTTAGGTTGATCCTTTTGGAGCCGATTTGAATAATCGTGTGGCATATAGGAAGTCACGTACGGATTTTTCTATTGTTTTTTCCAGTTTCCGCCGCCATATTAGAGCCGCCATGATGAATTTCTCAAAAGGCGAGATAGCAAACGACACTAGACATGATCACATAAAATTTGAGCCCCGGTTGACCTCAACCAATCCATACAAATTTTGGGCAGAGAGGATGGCTGGTTTGACGAAGAATGTCTCATATATATTTTTTCATATTTATTAGTATTCATCGACTTATTATTAAGAAAAATAACGCAAAGATGATTCCTAATTTAGAGAGATTCAGTTTATGTTTAGAAATCAGCCGACTTAGCTTTTGGTTTAGACTGTACTAGACAAAGACAAAGCGCTGTTCGAGACCTACAAGCATGCTCTCTCGGGTGTATATCAGTTGGACACGGGGCAATTGGACACAGTCCAATCACAAGTCGCTGTTCTAAGGGACCCTACAAATGTCTTTAATCATACGGTGCTGTGATTGGCTGTGTCCAAATGCACCGTGTCCAAGTGCACCGCTCCCGCTCTCTCTCATCCCGCAACACTTAAGGTTGCGTTCAGATTCCCTACTCGGGATACTATAGCACTCTAATATTAGAAATGCTATAGTATATGTAACATATACTATTGTGTTTCTAGTAAGAGAGTGCACCTGTGTAGGAAATCTGAACGCATCCCAAGAGGTAACGTGCGTTCCGGGTAGTATATATTTCAGTGATTCCGACATCCAACTCCGACATACGGCGTATGGTGTTCCAGGCCTAATTGCGAATTCAGTTGCTTGTACTAGTGAGCACTGAATGCGCACTAAGGCTTGTTCATAATATGTTATTATATTTAAAGATTGTCTTAAATACATTTTTAAATATTTTTAACCAATAATTTGATTTGTACAACATTCGTACGAACGATTTCATTAGCTACAATGTTTTTAAATATATGTTTAAAACACGATCTTAAATATAATAATGTACGATAAACAAGCTTTAGCGCGCACTCAGTGCGCACTAGTGCAAGGTACCGAATTTGCTATTAAAAAAAGAATTTGTTGAAAACCCTTCTCCAATATCTCCTTTTCCATTACACCATACATCCATTTACAGTAATTTCCTGTCTAAAAAGAAAAAATGCATGGACGTTCGAGCAAGCGAAATTGTCATCGAAACACCGCGTATTCCTGACGTATAGACGACACAATGGGTACAATCCAATTGAGTACACTGTGTTACACAAAATCAGTTTATTGGTTGCATATTATCTTAGAAGATATTTTAGATAATTTATAACCAATAAACTGGTTTTGTGTACGTGTGTGTCAAGATGTGTTAAGCAATTGGAAAGCACTCAATGTAAGTCGCGTTTTCTTTGTGTGCGTCAGATGTATTTTAGGACAGCATTTCTGGCGATCACGTCTCATAATGCTATCACTCTCGATCTTTCGTCTGCAATAGAGAAATATTGCATCGCAATATTTCAGAAACGAAGGTCCATTCACCCAAATCCTTTTAACGTTTTGATACTCAATATTACGGCTATCGAACACGCCTCATCCCGAAATTAATTTTGTACTTGGCGTTATCTCCTTGTCAATAGCGTCTCCTCGAACGCAGCCACAGTGGCCTATTGTACTACTAGCGCCGCTAGCGTAGTATCCGTGAACTATTATGGACGTCTAAACTGCTCTATTTTATCTACATTTTAGCAAAAAGTAATAACAATTTTTCATAAGAAACATTTCTTGAAGATTGGACGTTATTCCTTAGAACATTTTGTAGTCGGCAGATTTCCTTTTTTTTATATGCATCGTAGACATTTGTTATAACTTACGAATTGTGCTTGCAAACAACTAACGTAAAATTTTTTTTCGTTTTCGATGAAAAAATTATATCTGCCGAGTGTGTTTCAGCGAGTACTTTAAGCGTGCAAAAGCACTTTTCGATCAGTTCAGTTTGGACGACGTGAAACCTAAAACAGGTTTGTAGGCACTTCGACATTCCCTTAAAGGATAGCATCAGCAGATCTTAAAGGATAGCAACCTTTGACTTTAAACATATATATAATACTACTATACTGCTAGTCGCCCTATGCTGCCTGTAAAAGGAGCTTGTCTCAGAATGGAAGGACAGACGATGTCCGAGGAGTGTATTTTGACCGTATTGCGCAGGCGCGGCAATCAGACGATGTTATATCATCAGATGATATATATATATATATATATATATATATATATATATATATATATATATAGGGTGTTCTATTTTAAGTGGGCACCCCGAATAATTTCGAAGAAAGTGATTTTCAAAGAAAATGATCTAGACAAAAGTTGTTACAAATGGAATGACGTAATTTTGATAACGGCAATTGATAAAGCGGAAAATTTTACGTTAAAAATATGGGTTCATATGTTCTGATCTGTCGACCTAATGTAGGTGAAGAAAGGTCATATCCCATTTTAAACTACCAGTCCAAAGAACTTGGATCGTAATCAGTAAAATCAAAATCAGAAAAAAATTCAACCAGTAAAGGCAAGATCAGAAGATGATCCAACCAGTGTAGGTAAGATCAGAAGATGATCCAACCAGTGAAGGTAAGATCAGAAGACGATTCTGTGTAAACTGATATTTTCATTTGCAGCTGCTTTTTTTTTGCATAAATAGCATCTCCGGGTGCTCATGTTTATAGCATATGGTATATATACCCTATTACATGCAACTTTGTACAATATATTTTGTTTTTGCATTGGCGAATATGATCTATTTGACGCATGCGCATAATGTTCATAATATACTCAGAAAGAGAGAGAAATATATATTCTCGTGGTTCTGGGGTTGGACTTCTCTCTCATTTAGCAATATAGTAGTATTATATATATATATATATATATATATATATATATATATATGACTTTGAGAGACTGATAGCTGTACCACCTGGTACAGTAACATTGTTTTTTTCTGTAGTCGCCGTGCGCTCGGGGTCGCGCCAGAGATGTCGCTTCCGAACGGCATCTCTGAGCGTTATCTAGAGACAGGAGAGTGTCGTGAGCGTGGAGCGTCAGGTAGCTTAATGGTTTAAAGCAGCATCATGGCAAGCGAAAGATCCGGGTTTGATTTCCGACCTAGCAACAGCGCTCTCGATATATTTCTCTCTCCGGAACGAAAGGATACGCAGGTCCTGAACGCACGGCGTCCTGCCGCCACCTAGTACGCCCTCCTCCTTCTATGGTGGAGGAGCTACTGGAATTAAAATTGTTCGTACAGCTGGGAATTCCGAAGCGAGGATCACGATATCAAATTCGGGATCTTGAAGAAAGACACAACAAATGGCACAATAACGGAAGTTGTACCTATTCGAAGAGTTGCGTCCCATCAATCGGAGGAAATCGGAATATTAAATTGCGAAGCTCCAGCGACCTGTAAGTTGATACTATTCGGAACATTACAGAATAATGATAATACTGCAAATGTCATACTATCTAAATCGATGAATTTATTTGTTTCAGATTCTATTGTTTTCGATAATACATACAGTTTTCTAAGGAATAAAAAAGTTCATTATTCGGTACGCATCTTACCACCCGCGGAAAAAATAGAGGTATCAGCAACAGTCTCATAATAAAACAAGTTTTATTAGGAAAATTATAGTGATAGCAGTTTTTAAGGCATGTTTTTTACTGTATTATATGCGACCCAGGTAGCAAAGTGACGTCTAAAGATTTGCTGCCTGGGGTAGTTCGGATAAAATAAAAATCTGCTTCGGAAGTGGACACATAGTTAGGACTTATATTTAGTAATATTATATATAGTTCACAAGGAGATGCCACAACCTGCTAAATCGATTTCTGAACGAATCATAGCACGTTCGCTAGCTGCGATATTGTGCATCAACATCCTAACGGGATTTGTACCAATGCGTATGAGAAATTTGTTTATGAAAAATTATAGCCCATACATCATAAAAGCTTGCAACAACAATGCTACAACGTTGCAAGCTTACATATTGCAGTGCAATGTTACAGAGACATTGCAGTGACATTAATTTGCAATATTACTTTAGCAATATTATAGCAACATTTCAAAAATATTACGAATATAATATAATATTTTTTACTTATTCACTAATTATTTTGGTTACTAATATTTCAAATTTGATAATGTTTCACATCAATAGTGCTTATAGAATAGTATTTAGAATAGTACTTGTTAATGGCAGTCATTAATACTAAAATTTGTCTTATTACATACTTCTTATACTTTTTACTTGTACTTGTTTAATTTTATGGTTTTTTCTTGTTTCATTAAAATATTATATTCTTAAACAAAATATCATTTTTTAAAATGATGAAAATAAAAATTTTTATTTTGTTCAAGAAAACCATGTTATTTGATGAAACAAAATTATTGTTTTAAATAATATTTTTAAAAGTTTCTTTCAAAATTTAGGAATTCGATTTGTTTGATTTGGATTTTCTTGGATTTTTTATTTCATATTTTTTTATTTGGATTAATCATTATAACATTCTGTTCTAAAAATTTAAAAGTAATTATCACTGGTTCACTACGTTACATCAATATTCATCGTATATAGAATGTTATCCCGATGAAAAATTTTTCATGCATAATTTTGCAAAAATGCTTATACAAAATCATGTAAAATTATATATGAAATTTGTCCATATATAATTATACATAATTATATCTAAATAGATAAAATTATATATAATTACCAGGTATGTAAATATGAAACCGGAATTGTTGTATAGAAAATACACGTTTATTGTATGAAAATGATAAAAAATATTTTATTTGAAATATGGCCCATCGCTAGCGATAAATTTTTCCCACCTGTCTGACAATTTGTGGATGCCACGCCAAAAAAACGGTTGCTCTTTTGAGGCAACCCAGTCATCGAGCCATTTTCATACATTTTCGTAAGAAGTGAAGCGCTGCTTGGCAAGTACGTGTCCCATCGATACAAATAAATAGTAATCGGACGGACCCAAGTCTGGTGAGTAAGCCGCATGCGAAAATATTTCCCAACTAAACGCCCCAATCGTTTCTTTGACCAGTTTTGCTGTGTGTAATGATGCATTATCATAAAGCCAAATTACTTTGTGTTGCCTTTTTTTATATTCTGGTCGTTTTTCACGCAAAGCTTGATTCAAATCGATCATTTGTTGTCGGTAGCGTTCAGTATTAACGGTTTGGCCAGGTTTAGCAGCTCATAATAGATCACACCCTTCTGATCCCACCAAACACAGAGCATTGTCTTCCGTCCATAGCGATTTGGCCTTGCAGTTGATGTCGATGGTTCGCCTGGAATTACCCATGATCTTTTACGCTTAGGATTCTCAAAATAAATCCACTTTTCATCGCCAATCACAATTCGATGGAGAAATGACTTTCTTTTGTACCTGGCGAGTAGCATTTTGCAAGTGGTTTTTCGGTTTTTCTGCTGTCTTTCATTCAGTTCATGTGGAACTCATTTTCCCATCTTCTGGATCTTTCCCATGGCTCTCAAACGTATAGAGACGGCTTCTCGTGTCACATTTAATTGATCCGTGAGTTGTTGTTGCGTTTGAGTGTCATTCTCATCCTACAATGCTTGCAATTCGCTGTCTTCAAACTTCTTTGGTGGTCTTCCACGTTCTTCGTTTCTCACGTCAAAATCGCCACTTTTGAATTTTTTAAACCACTCAAAGTACTGTGATTTACCAAGAGCATGCTCACCGTAAGCTTCGACAAGCATTCGATGCAATTCTGCAGCAGTTTTCTTCAAATGGTAACAGAAAATCAATGCTGTCTGCAAATCGTAGTTTCCAGGCACAAAATTCGACATGTTCAATGCTATTACAAACTATGCTGTTGTATGAAACTTGTATTGTTGAGAGTTGAAAATCTTTGTCAGAGATGTCAACAAGGAAATGGCGCCAATGACGCGGTTTGACGGCTAGGGCCATCTATGGGAAAATTCCGGTTTCATATTTAGAGACCTGGTATGCATAATTTTTGATAATACAAATGCCTTTTGATGCTATAAATAGTAACTTTTTTCGTTTCTTCTATGTTAAAACTTAAAGAAAGACTTACTGAGAGTTTCTCAATACGCATAGAGAAAAAAAGATTACTTTATATATCCCTCCGTAGTTTCGAACTCGAACTACCTCACCTATTCCGCTTGGTAATCCTAGTCCTAGTCTTGGTAGTCCTAGTCCTAGTCTTGGTAGCTACTGGATCATTTTGACAGTAAGAGAGTTAATAATGATTCTAACGTCTCGTACGGTATCTTGCTGATTTGTATTTACAAATACTTGTATATACAAGTACTGTTATTTCACACAATCGCTCGTATGAAGATAGGATTAAATTGAATAGAAAAGTCATGTACCATTTTGCAAAATTCGCAATAGTTGACAAGGAATAAATTATTCTTTGTGAGCTAATGAGCGCACGTGAATCGGTAGGCCAAGTACACGCCAAGGCGTCTAAAGAAAAATGGTTTACTCCTGAAGATGACCGTCACGCGGCAACGCGCTGCTGTTCGTGTCTACGTGTCTATATTTTGATTATATTAGGTGTATATCTATTAAATGCGGATTTTTTTAAGGAAAAACACATGTTAATTTGAAATAAATGGTTAAAACTATTTATTTGAAGTATGCGCCATTCGACGCTACAACTTTTTCCCATCTTTCTAGCAAAAGATGGATTCCGCGACGATAGAAACTTTCATTTTTGAAACAAACCATGAATCGACCCATTTTTTCACTTCTTCAAAATTAGCAAAGTGTTTCTCAGCCAATCCGTGCGCTATCGACCAGAACAAGTGATAGTCCGAAGGAGCAATATCCGGCGAATACGGCGAGTGAGGTAGCACATCCCAATTCAATTCTTTTAAAGTTTCTTTGACAACTTTTGTGGGCCGGCGCATTGTCATGTAGCAAAATCACTTTTCCATGTCTTTGGCCCCATTCCGGACGTTTTGTGATCAATGCATGGTTTAAATTGATCTTTTGTTATCAGTAGTGAGCAGCATTAACCGCTTCACTAGATTTGAGAAGTTCATAATAAACAACACCCTTTTGATCCCACTAAACACAGAGCATTGTCTTCTTTTCAAAGCGATTTGGTCTTGCAGTCGATTTTGATGGTTAGCCTGGATCAACCCATGATTTTCTTCGTTTAGGTATAGCTTCCGGAATGGAACCGTGTCTTGAATCAGCGATGTGCCAACGTTTCGCAAACGTTGCAGTTTGCATCAGCAGAACAGAAAACTCTGATACTGAGCTCCCTTGGGTAAAGGTTGTCCTTATATACCCCCCTGCCCCCCCTTGTGTAGATGGTGTTAGGGAGTAGGGGACGAGGCTTGAATCCAGCTAATCAGCGTATTTTAATTGATCAGCTGGTCAATTAAAAAACCGGGAGGACAGTATGCCAAAGAGTTTACTTGTATACCTTTGTCTCGGTTGAGGTTGTTGGGATGTTTTAAAATTTTTAGAACTTCACGATGTTTTCTGGCAAAATAACTCTGTGAGGGAGCCAATCTGGTGGCTTTGTCATATTGTACGGAGTGTCCAGTCTCCATCCAGTGTTCAGCTAGAGCTGATTGAGTAAAGTGACCATACCTGGTACATCGCTGGTGTTCCTTGATTCGCGTACTGATCTTCCTCTCGGTTTCTCCTATATAAACTTTACCACAAGAGCAAGGGATCTTATATACACCTGATGTTTCTAGGCATGATTTCTGATCCTTCGGATTTGAGAGTAAATGGGAGAGCTTCCTATGGGGTTTGAAGATTACTTTGATTTTGTGTTTACCCAGAATCCTGCTCATAGGTTCTGTTATGTCCTGGAGATATGGAAGGACAGCCATCTTTCTCTTTTCTCTCTCTTCATCTAGTGTGTCAGTGTTT